TATACATGTGAATGGATAGAAGAGAGAATGTTAAAAATATAAAAACTAGTAACAAAATATTTAAAATGACTACTGCAAAACAATTAGTTGGACTTTGAATAAATAAAAAAAAACAAAATCAGTCAGAAAATAATAAAGCTCAAAGTTTGTATGTCCATTTGCACAAAAACCTGAAAATTAATTAAAACTATGAAATCAAATAGTTTTATGCATTTCTGTCAGCCTGTCTCATTCATCTTTTGCCAAACTTGATGGTTCTTGCTTAATGGAGATAATTTGCACATTCAATTTTAAAAACCAATTGTTTTTAGAAGTAACTATTTTGTATTTATTTCCAATCTGCCCTTGTGCAATCTTTATAAGTGATTGTTTTGTTGATAGATTTTTTTTATTAAATAGCTTATTTGTTCAAATAAAGCCAAACTTTCTACTTAGGAAAGTTGAATGTCAGACTTTAATACATCTTACAAAATAATGTAACTACCTGTATCTGTCCATAAGGAAATTGTCTAGGATTTATATGCAGACAATTTCATGTCATGAACTAAATTAAAGTTTTTTTTTCCTGTGAATTTGGATCTAGCACAGGTCACATTCAATTAGTTAATAACAGCAAAGCCAACAAGCCTATTGTTTTTAAAGTATTCTGCTTTTGAATTAATCTTTCACTCACCAATAATTTAACATTACCCAAGGAAACACATTTGTAGTGTTGAAACATAATTGCCATTATGTAGCAATTTAATATCCTAAAATAAATAATATATATATATGATTAATACATAAGATTTGTCACTTAGCTGATTGAAGTTACCTTCAGCAATCTGACTGTGGAGTTTTGTAGATACTCTCCAACAATCGCTCTGTCAACTCATCTGAGGGTTGTTGAACTAAGTATCAATCAGCTAAGTGACAAATTTTATATTTATATTAATCCTATTAATATGCTATCTCTGATATCAAGCACTTTATTGCAAAGACTGCTTATGTCTTTTTGGTCTCCCACTCACTGACAGCATTTCTGGCTTCACAGAAATGGATTAAATCCGACAAATATTTAAATATATCTTCTATTTACAGGTTTTGTTTTTATGGATACACATATTTCAGTAAATGCTCTGTTTTTTAATTAAAAAATATTAATTACATTTACCAGCCTAAATGTTCGAGAAATATCCATCCTCCAATACAGGTTCGATTCCCAACAGAGGACACATATTTTCTATGAAATTTCTCGAAGATTCAGGCAGTAAATGTAATACCATTTAAAAAATTGAAAAAAAAAAAAAGATAAAAAAAAGATAAAAAAAAGATAAAAAAAATGGAAAAAAAAGAAGAAAAAAGGAGCATTTTCTCAAATTTTATCCATAAAAAAATGAAAAAAGTGTATAAACAAAATAAATAAATATATATATATATATATACACACACACACAATTTGCTAGAATGAAAGGTTTCAACATATATATATATATATATAAACTCAAATGTCTGTAAAAATAAATCCTATTTTGTTCTTTCTTCTAATGTAGAAAGGAGCCTGTTTGCAAGGATTCAGGTTTTGACAGTAAACAAAAAAAAAATCAATAGATTTATTATTTAAAAAAGTAACATTGATGTAAGAAGCTTTTATCTACATGAAGTCATTGCTCATATTTGTGCATCCATTTGCATGCTCCACCTATTGCCATCAGAATGCTTTTAATATCTTCTCATGACAACTAATATTTTGTAATGCATAATACTGGCATCTAAATTGCAATATAAAATAACTGAAGCAGAGGTTTTTTTTTTCTTTCTTCTAATTCTACAATTAAAATTCATGCTAACAGAATAGAGAACTCATGCTATTAAAACCCACTTTAATTTTTTGACTTTAGTGCTTACAAGTTTTCCTAAAGCAAGAATGACTAACTAGTTACACAGCCTCACATTATGCCAGTAACTATAACAGTACATTAGTATTTAAATTCAAAAGTGGCCACATTCAACTAAGTATACTTTATTTCTAAAATACCTACCAGCTTCACGAAAAGCAATGAAAATCAATCATGCCTAATTATAATAATAAATGAAAATTTAATGGGTTATGTTAGGTACCTCCACGAAATCGCTAAAAAAAGAGCATAGCTTGATGAAAAAGATGCCAAACTTGCCAAAAACTAAATTTTATTGTCTAAATGCTTATGTTATTATTAAGAGGAAAGACCAAAGTTTGTTTTTTTTAATTATTTTTAAAAAAATTTTCCCTTCTTTTTAGAACATTCTAAATTTTGATTAAAAAACCTTTTTTTCTATTTGTATCAACGAACTAGTAAATAACATAGACAATTTTTAGCACGTTTTTTTGGTATGACACACATTAATTTGAAAAATCGTGCAAAAATAGAAATAATTATCGGATGTTAATGAAACTTTCAGAAACTATTCACAGATGATCGAAATTATTATAAATATGTTTATTTTATGAAAGTCATGGTAGAAATATTTTTTAAATATTTATTACCCCCCCATAACTAATTTTATGAAAACGCTAGAAATTGATCGCATCGGTTTTAGTGATTACAATAATTAAAAAAGCACAGGGCTTTGAGGAATGCAAATCATGTTTTTTTTTTGTTTTTAATTGGATACGCAGTACCTGAAAATCAGCTCTGAATTGTAACATACAAACTCAATAAAACAAATATATTATTTAATTTCAAATGCTTTTATTTGCTTTTAGTTGTTTTTATGAATATGGACAATATTTTCTGAAAGCCAAAAAATTTTTTCAATGAAAAATGAATTTTTAATACAATTATTTGTTATTTCATTAATTATAATAGATTTTACATTTAAGTTGTTAAAATATTATAAAATTAGTTAAAAAAAAGCATCGGCTTTCATAAGTGTCCTTATGAGATAGATCTTTTTTAGTGCGTTGTAAATTGTATCATTTTGACTAATCAGAAGATACCCAGTAATTAAGAAATGTAATTTTGTGCTTATAATCAAGCTGTAATTATAAAATAATGAAGACCAACCAGAATATAATTAAGTTGCGTTATTTGAGTTAAGCATTGTTCTCCGCTGTTAAGGCCTTTACTTTTAAAACACGTGTGGAGAAGTTAATTTGATTTTTCAATTTCAACTGAGAAGGGTACCTACAAGTATCAGTATCATCTTATGAAATTTATATGATCTTATTTTTATATTAATCTCAGTTATGACATTTTTCCATAAATGAAATATCAAAATTAATAATAAAATGAATGCAAATACAAATAACAGTAGAATGTAATAAATGTACATAAAATTATAGTATTTTATGTACAATTCTGATAAAATTTCATAAGAAAGGTACCTATAAATTAATTAGATACCTTTCTTAAGAAATATGAAATTTAATGTCACTCTTAACAGTTTTATTTTAATTTCTTTACAATATATTTCCCATAAAGCATCATAAATGTAAAGGTGAAAGCTAAGTACAAAAAAAAAAAAAAAAAAAAAAGACCGCTGAAAGTTTTCGTTAAAAATAACGGGGTAAATAATTTGTTCACGAAATGTAAATTATTTCACTTTTTCTCCTTCCGTAGAACAAATTAGCCTCATGGAATTCGTAAATATATCATTCATCACATGTCAAGAGACGCGAAAGTTTATGACCTGCTTTGTTTTATTTTCAAATTACATCTTTTTGGCACAAAAAGCTAAGTTAAGTTTGGTTCAAAATATTTTAAATAAACATTATAATTTCTGATTTTCTTAAAAATAAGTTTTGAAAAATGATAATTGATATTTAAAAAAATTTCAAAGTCAGATTTCCAGTTTTTTTTAAAATGGAAAAAAATGGTCAATTTTGCTGACTCAAAAAAAACTAGATTCTTAACGAAAATTTCGGACGTGCTAGGAACGATTAAAAAATGGAAAAAAATACCCCAAAAATACTTTGACCTTTCCTCTTAATAATAACAAACATCAAGTTTGGTGTCTTTTTCATCATGCTATGCTCTTTTTTTAGCGATCTCGTGGAGGTACCTAGGTTATGTTTTTGCCAATTAAATGTATTATTGTTACACAATTAAGTGCCTGTTTATTATTATGCTTTTACTGATTAAGGGTATTTTTATTATGCATTTACCAAATGTTTATTATTATTATTATGTTTTACTAATAAAGTGGCAATTTTTATTATTCTGCTTTTGCCAATAAAGTGTTTATTTTTATTACGCTTTTACTGATTAAATGTCTATTCTTATTATATTTTACCAAGCGCTTTATTTATTCTGCTTTTGCTGATAAGGTGCCAATTTTTATTTTGAATCTGCCAATGATATGCTTATTTTTATTATGCTTTGGCTGATGAAGTGTTTATTTTTATTGTGTTTTTACCAATTAACTATTTATTATTATGCCTTTGCTGATCTTTGAAACTAGTTTAACAAAACTATACACCCACCCATCACCAAGAAAAGCAAAACAAATTGTATATAAGAAAAGAATGCAAGTCATATCAACAGTATATGACAGCTATTAAAGCATTCAACAAAATACATTCTTGGCAGTTATTACAATTGAGTTTTGGGCAAAATCCAAAATTTTTACTAAAATGAATTTAGCAAAACAATGGAACTCTGCCTCCAGTTTTAAGTAGCATCCCTGATTTAGAAAAATGCAGTCACCCAAGAAAATTATCTAGCAGTGAGGGAGGAAAGAGGGAGAGGTGAGCAGGAAAAGGTTTATAAAAAATGTAGTGGCTACAAAATATCACATCACACACACAAAAAATTTTTTTAAAAATAGTCATCTCAATTTTACCACTGCATCTTCATTTGGCTGAGAAAGAAAAACAAAGAAACGAGCAGGGACTGGATTCAATATATATCTATGCACTGGACTATAATGCCAAGAGCACATTATATATATATATATATATATATATATATATTTTGTAGATAATTGTAGCCATTCCAGTAGGATGAGAAGAGAAAGAGAGAAGCATCACACCAACTTACTGAGAATATGATGGCAAATAACACGGTCGATGATATCGTCTGAAATTAAAATTTCAATCAAAAATTGTACTATTAAACTGAACCTAAAACCATTGGTAATACCTGGTATGTGGAGTTATAGTCAATGATATGACATGTAGCCCTAACACAAATTATAAAAAAAAAAAAAAAAAAAAAACAAAAAAACAAAGAAATAAAATGTTTTGAATCATAAATTATGGATTCAATTTTACGAGACAACTTTTAGAGATTAATACTACAACATGTGCACTGAGTGAGGGGGGTTAAAACTGAAGGTGGGCAAAACCGAGGAAAGGAGTATTGAGAGGAGGGGAAAACCCAGAAAGGGGGGCAATGGGAAGGGGGAACTGGAATGGTTTGCTAGGTAAAAACAGAAGGTAAGAGAAAACAAAAAAAAAAAAAAATTAAAAAAAAAAAAAAAAAATATTTATAAAAATATACGAATTAAAAAAAAAAAAAAAAAGCAATATATAAAAATAAAAAAAGAACAAGAGGAAGCAAAATATCCAAATAAAAAAAAAAAAGCCATTCCAGGCAGCAACAATTTATTTTTTTTTTATTTTTTTTTTTTTTTAAATTTCCTTTCAGAAGTCAATGAATGCCCAAGTTTCACATATCAAGCATCATGCTGGTGAAGAATATGATTAAGTGATATTATTTAATAGAGAAAGCATACCCATTTAAGAAAATAATTTCCCCTAGCTACATACCTTGCTCTGTCATGATAGTACCAGCTGTCCACATCATCATAATAGCCAGGTCTCGTGTATCGATCCCGATAATAGTTATAGTAAGCTGCACTCCGTGAATAGTAATCAGGATCATAATCTGAAACAAAAGGGAGAGAAAAATCCATAAGTCAAAATTGTTCAAATCATCTTTATAATGTGAAAAATTATTTTTCAACAAGGACATACTAAAATGATTCTGGCCCAAACCATTTGCCAAAATCTGACCAAATCAGCAAATATCTGAATTTCTTCTCAAATCACTTCTTGGTAAGTCTGGTTTGGTTGTTTTTGTTTAGCAGCATATCAACACCTCTATGGGTTATTTAATGATGAAATCTAAGTATTTTAAATGCAATTTTATGCCTTCAACTACAGATTTTGTACATTATATACATTCAGTGCAAACGTTTTTTTGTTTTGTTTTTTTTTTTTAAATATATTCTTTGTTGATGATAAAATTTATTGTTACTAAAAAATTTTTTAAATGTATTTCAAGCAAATTTTTTTATAAAAACATTCTGCTGGTAATGTATAAAAATGTATTTTTATACTTTTCTAGTGTTGCATTGATTGTCATTTTGCTATAAAAATCTATTGTTGATAATTCTTTTTGATAAAAATGTATTTTTATACTTTTCTAGTGTTGCATTGTCATTTTGCTATAAAAATCTATTGTTGATAATTCTTTTTGATAAAAATGTATTGCTGATATTTTTCAATTGAAAATATATTTTTATACTTTCATAATGTTTTGATTTTTGATTGGAGTTCACTATTTGCCCATAACTTGGACCCCACCTCCCAACAGGTGCTACCATCCTTGGTTAGGGTGGACCTGGGACAGCAGTAATTAAGAGGTGGTTCCATGGTCCTCAAAACCTCCAATCTTCCAATCAGAGGCCTTGTTGCCGGATGTATTCTTGGTAAGGCTGACAACTTTTCAGCACCCTTTCATAAATATTCCCAAAGATTATAATATACTAGCTTGATTCCTAATACACAGTCAGTTAAGTGCCATACACAAAACACACTTGGGTGATTGTGTCTGTTTCGTTTCATGACTGACTAAGCAAAAGATTTCCCACACTAGGCTACTATTTCTTTCTGCAGTAGACTGGTTGCCAACCAAGGCTATAGGACCCAGTCTGGCCTGCTATTTAACCCAGAGATGGGAAGAGAAGAGATTTCCCAAGAGTATTTGCAAATAAGCAAATTTAAGAAACCCAACTGGAATTTGAACTTGGCTCCGATTTCTCATGGAGCCGTTATCAATTAATCCACACAGTGCTCAATAGATCTACTTAATCTATTCCATTAAAACATGTTAAAAGCCACACTTTCTCTCTACCTATTAAAAGCCCACACTTTCTCTCTACCTATTAAAAGCCCACACTTTCTCTCTACCTATTAAAAGCCCACACTTTCTCTCTACCTATTAAAAGCCCACACTTTCTCTCTACCTATTAAAAGCCCACACTTTCTCTCTACCTATTAAAAGCCCACACTTTCTCTCTACCTATTAAAAGCCCACACTTTCTCTCTACCTATTAAAAGCCCACACTTTCTCTCTACCTATTAAAAGCCCACACTTTCTCTCAATCATTAATGCTTAAACTTTATACACTTTAAAACAGTCTCCTTGATATGAAACCGACTACTATTAATGGGAACAGACACAACCAATTAATACAGAGACACAGGACCCATTAAGACAACTTCGCATGAATAAGCAAACTTTAGAAAAAGAACAGAAGAGGAACTCCTGCAAGTTGCCAAACACTCTCCTGAAGTCATTTTGTAGAAGAATGCCTCCCCTATGAAGCATTATAAACCAACTGAGAATCTGCCAGAAACATAAAAAAAAACCTAAATCTTCATTCATTTATCTAAACCATAATTAATATCATTCAGTATGATTCAACAATCAACTTGACTGATACATCCCTAAAGATATTTTTACAATTCTGTATTTGGTGCATAACAACATTTACTGGTTGTCTGAAAGTATTGCAAAACTATTGAGGTTTTGTAGTAACCGCTACAACTTAACCATATCACCCAAATCTAGACAACAATAAGATATAAAATTAACTCATTTAATTAAGATAACAAATTCAATAAATGTTTTGAAATAATTTTTGGTATTAACCTTGATTTCTCAATATGATAATATCTAAACTGATTGAAACAATGTATAGATTAAGAATAGCTATATAAAAAGCTTGTATAAAGGAGAAGGATGGACTCCTCCAAATCTACTTTTTCTTTTTTTAATCATTTCACCCCAAGCAAGACAATCAAGCCACTAAGACACAAGGAGTTACTGAAGGTTAGAGAATATGAAGGGAAAAAAACAAAAACATTATTAACGAAAGAGAACAATAAAACAAGAATTAAGAAGACAGAAGATAATGATTAACATTGCATTTAAATTTTTGAAGATTAAACTTGACTGTGAAGCAAGAAGCCAGAGGAGACTTCCACAAGGAAGATGCGTGACAGAAGAAACTGTTAGCATAAAACTTAAGGTTACATCTTGGAATTTTAACTGTATAATGAGACCTTGCTGGCAATCCAGTACTATGCTGAAATTCATAAGGTCTAGGTACCATAGAGGAAAGTTCATCAAAACAATTACCATAAAAGTATTTATAGAAAAGACACAGGAAAGCTACATTATGGTGACTGAAGCCAAAATGCCAGCATATTTTTTGGGGATTTGATCTACTTGCCCAAGAGACATGCTATGCATGAATGAATATCTCTCTGACTTTCAACCTAGACATTGGCATGCAACTGAGACATGGGGTAAGTTGCTTAGTGATCCTCGGACAACACCTGGTTACCACAACAGTTATTTTTTTTTTACTTTCTGCTAATAAATACCACCTTGAGTAATTGAACCAAAAGTTCAGATGAGAACTGAATATACAAATTCATAAAATTAGTCTTTAAGAAAGTGTGTTAAAAAGTCAAGTTACACAGCAAAGGATTTACAAATCAGTGATAAGTTTATTTTCCTCTTTCTCACACACACACACACACACACACACACACACACACACACACAATCACTAGCCAATCACATTCAAGTATGCCCATCTACTAGGGTGACTAGCTAATCCCCATTGCAGATGCCCACTCAGGCACACTTGTACTTGTTCAGAGTCCACCTGTGGTTTATACTGTAACTGCTGAGCTAGCCTTAGTTACAGTTTCTGGCAGAGAGCGCGTTCTCTAGCGTGATCAACAGACTAATCAAGGCCAAACAGCACACTCAAACCCTTGGTCACAATGACTTTTGACTTTATGCTGGCACAACCATCAACAGTCCCCAAGTGTTCCATCTGCCTAATTTCACTCACAAGGCTTGAGTCAACTGGTGGTATAGTTTACAGGCACTTTCAAAAAGTGCCACATGCTGGATTGTCCCACTCCAGACCGATAACATTAGGAAGTCACCTTCCTAACAAATCAATCCTGGTAAAATTTGAACCTGGGTATCACGGTCAGAAAGTGAACATTCTAACCATGTGCCCATAACATACATACACACATACACACACACACACATACATACATACATACATAAAGCAGAGAAGAATTTATAAGCTTTAAAATGATAAATAACAGGATGGAATATATATCTTTAAATAATTCTAATTTTTTAAAGATGGTTGTCAGGTTTCTTTTAAAGAAATTTGCATTTAAGCATTTCCCAATTCTCTCTTTGAGAGAGCCAGTGTGGATTGGTGAAAAGTGCTAGAAAAGTCAATTTTGGTTTATTTTGTTTTACGGTATATCATCCTCAATTTCAACAAGATTTTTAGAATTAGTTTTCATGAATAAAATATGTATACTCTGCAAGAAATCAGTTTGTAGATCAAGTTACAGTGACATATTTTTGTAACGATGGTTTTTGTTGAGAGTCAAATGTATTGCTGGTATTTTTACTATAAAACATACTTTTATACTTTCATAGTGTTTTGAACCCAGTTAGGGGGTTAACTATTTGCCTATAGCTGGGACCCTAACAGGTGCTACTACCCCAGGGTCAGGGTGAACCTGGGAACAGCAGCAGCAATTAAGAGGTGGTACCACACTGCTCAAAACCTCCCAATCAGAGGGCTTGCTGCCAGATTTAGTTTATCGTCATACCCAGGACAGGTAGCAAAATCAAACTAAATGGGATGAATAAAGTGTAATTAACCCTAGATGCATTAGAGGTAGATTAGCAACATGCCTTCTTTACCAGGTCTGTGACATGCAATTAGTTTAAATAAAGAAGAGAGAAAGATTCTATTGCAGTTCATTTGAGTACAAAATTACTTCAACTTGGGATAAAAGAGACAGAGAAACATACATAGCAATTTTATGATTGACAAGATACAAAAGATATGGAACTTGTAAATAGCATCAATATACCTTAATAGAAAAATTATATCTGAAATTTCCTTTTTTGTAAGATTAAATATCTAATTTGATTTTTAAAAATGATTTATGCTTGTATGAAAATGTGATTCAAATAAAAACTCGTTCATTAGAGAGATTACACATGTACACGGATAAGTTACAGACCATTCTCATAAAACTAGCGTACCCATGCTGTCAAAATTGAAAGCAAGAAGGTATGTATTATAAGTAATATGCATTATATTGTTGAGTAATTTTCATTTAATCCAAGTACAATTTTGTAAGTTAAAATACTTTGTTGTTAATGTTAATAATTGAACAATGTACAATTTATAAACACCTGAGGAAAGATATCTGTATATTACCCTCATAAATGTTACACATTTACAACCAAAATTATGTTTACTGAAAAAGTTCCCAAAGCACAATATTTTTTAAGTAAACTTTGGAAGGTGAGTAATCCTTGACAGTCCATAGATTCAATCTGTAATTTTAGAGTTTGCTTTTTTCTTGTCTGACTAAAAACAACATATCAGACATTTTTTTTTCCTCAAGCCATTACCAAATTCCACAAAATATGCTTCAAATTGTAACATACAAAAATTAACGACAAAATAAATATATATACAGATTCAGTATCAAGTATCATCAAACCCACCTTTTTGCAAAAAATATTATCATTGTAGGATTTGTATTTGTAAAGATATTTTAGAATTAAAAATATGTAATAACTTCATTGAATCCATTTTTAATCATGTAAGTGTTTCAAAATTCTCAGAAATTAAAAAATGAAAACAAGCAGGAATAATTATTATTCCCATTTGTTTTTACTTTTTAATTTTGCTGATAATTTCAAAATGCCATATGTATTTTTAAAATTTCTATTCTTTTGAATTTATTTCCATATTTTTATTTTTTTTTGTGTAATTATTTTAACTTTTTATTATTTATTCATTATTGAAGATTTTAAAAATAAAACTTAATATCTATTCTTCTTTTTTACTTTACAAAAAACAAATTTCAAACAAAATATCTTGAATTAGTCCAGGCCAGGCCCCAAAATTATTATACAGAAAAATAATTTATTCATGTTCTGGAAAATTATTTTTTTTATTCAATCTTTAAAAAAAAAAAAAAAAAAATATAAACCTCATTGTTTTTTTTTGGTTTGTTACTAACATGAAAACATAAATAATTTTGAATTAAGTTTTATTAAAGTAAAAACTGACAAGCCTTACTTTTTTGAAAATTAATTTAAATAAAATAAATATTCAACACAACTAATGTTGCCCATACTCATGTCCATCACTCATAATTTTTATTTAACTAAAGTTCTTTTTTTTCTTTTCAAAAACAAATACAACTTTAATTTGGGTGAGTCATCGTTATTTTGCATACTTTGCCCCCAATTGTTACACACATACACAAAAGGGGGGGGGAGTATTCATAGAAAATATGTCTTTAATATCAAAATGCTTAAGTTAACTTTATTCACATAATTCTTTGTAAGATTTTGCTAGATTCTTTCAATTATCTTATTACTGGAACAATCTATAACATTTCGCAATTCATTTCTTATATTAGGTTATTTCTGCACACAAATTATACACAATAATTATCATCATATTGGAAGGAAGGCAAAAGCTATAGGAAAATAGCAGATATCCTGAATATACCATTTACTACTATTAGTTCCATTATTGCTAAATATAAAAGGATGAAGACTGTTGAGAACAAATTGAGATCTGGTGCACCACAGAAGATTTCTCCCAGATCAATGAGAAGAATTCAGTGCAAAATTCAAGAAAATCCAATGACTATTCAGGAGAGAAATACAGAAAGAATTAAAAGCATCAAGTATTATTGTTACAAAGCGAACAATAAGCAATGAACTTCATAGAAATCAACTAAGATCACGTTCTCCAAGTAAAACTCCACCACTATTGAAAAAACATAGGGAAAAATTTGTTTGTGAGCATAAGAATAAACCTGAATCATTTTGGGAAGTGTTTTATGGGCAGATGAAGCAAAAATTGAACTATTCAAGGACTCACATTTAAAGAAAAGATGGCACAGCTTTTGCACCGAAGAACACAATCCTAACAGTGAAATGGTGGTGGCAATATCATGGTTTGGGAATGTTTTTCTGCTAATGGTATGGATAATTTAGAGATAATAGATGGTACAATGAATTCAAAAATATACCAAAATGTTTTAGACTCTAATTTGTTTGAGTCAGTAATAAAGCTTGGACTCCTAAATGAATGGGTTTTGTAAGAATATAATGACCCTATACATACGGCTAAACCTACAAAAAATAGCTTAATGAAAACAATATCAATACATTTGAATGGTCATCACAGTCTCCAGACTTGAATCCAACAGAGAATTTGTGGCATTTATCAAAAATTCAAGTTAATAAAAGAGTTCTGAAAAACATCCTGGACCTGAAGAGAATATGCAAAAAAGAATGGAATAAAATACCAACAAAAACTTGCAAATCATTGATTAAAAGCTACAGAAAGTGATTGGTTGCTGTTGAATTTAGTAAGGGATATTTTACAAAGTATTATATAGGTATTATAATTTTGTAAGAATACTTTTTTCACCTCTAGTTTTTTTTTTAATTTCATATAATTTCATTAATATAACAAATTTTTCTGAATTTTTTTGCATATTACAGCATTATGCCATTATATACAAATATTGTATAGATTATAAACTTATTTTATAAAATCTATGTTAAATAAAAAAAATTCATGGTGTACAAATATTTCTCCCCCCCTCCCCAACTGTGTATATATATATATATATAGGGAAATGATACAGCTTGCATGTGATGCATTTCATACTTTATGAATTAATCAAATTAGTGATGTTTATGTTAATGCAACTACACATGCACATAAACTATCTACCCACCAACTCCATCACAACTACAATTGAGAAGAATTTATCTAAGATTAACATAAATATGAAAAACTTAATACGAAACAAAATAAAACTTGAGGGAGGAATTTACTTTATCACCTGTAATAAATGGTCACAAGGAATACATAAAGGAAACCTGAAGGAATTTATAAGATTCTATGAACACAAATGGGATCTTTTAGCAAACACTAAATGCATTAGTTGCTCAACATTAATGAGTGACCATAATGTTGCTTTAAAAAATGCTACTTTAATTAAAAGAGAAAGCAATTTACTAAGATGAAAAAGGATAGAAAGTGCTTGATTATCCATAGTAAATTTATATCCAGGTTCTTACAACATTTCACCTTTCTTGGCTGATTTTCTATTATCAGAATTTGGGATATGTAATAAGTTATGGAAACATGAACAAAAAGAAACTAAATGTTGTATCAATATAACATAAATATCACTTTAGTCCGATGAAGTCCTAAAGGACAACGCACATGTAACATTATAAAAACAATCTGTTTCTTTTTCAAAAAATTTATTTAAAAAAACAAAAAAACTTGTGTTTAAAACCAAAGGACATTAGTATTTTTTGTTACTTTACCTATCAAGCACCAAAAGATAATTAATGTCCCCCTTCTTGAAATTAACACCTTGTCATCATTTTGTACTTCACATAGATGCTATTCATCTCTGGGGAATCCCTACTGTTTTAAACTTGGCCAAGACATGACAGTAAAATAGGGAAGAAAATTACTGGTCCTAAAGTTAAGTATATTACTTTCCTTGTTCTAGAATAAACTTTAAGTAGCTAATACTTTCATTCTACAAAGGCATTCACTTTTTAAACAAGTGTCACTAGTGATTAAAAATGGATTTATTAAGAGTATGGAAAATTATGTAAAGATCCAGAACTACAATGATCTCCTCTAACCAGAATCTACTGGGTTTGAAAGGCTGGAGGAATTGTGTTTGGTAAATTTAAAGGAGAATTCTTTACAGCAAGTTGTTGGAAACTATAAAAACAGTTACTGCACAAGACTAAAATGAGCAATTGGCTTGTTTGAATAATGAGTCGGATAAAATAATTTTTGAAGCAAGGAAGCCAAGCAGTTATTTTGTCATATATTAATACTCATCTTCATATTGCAGATATAACTTCATAAATGATCATGGAGTTGAGATAACTAGTTCTTCAATATGTGGTATAATATCCAAACCTGTTACCTTTAAACTATCACTTGTTTTGCCCTGTACAACATTATTTATATTTTCAAAGACCCCAACAAGTTGAAAATATCAAAAGATTCTTTAAAGAATTTATTAAATCAAAATCATTGCTTTATGTTGAAATACACACTTATGAGAGAAAACCAACAAATATACTTTTATGGGAATTCCAGCATTTTCATGTCGATTCACTCTTTGATGTCTGACCAGCTCTTGTGTTGCTGTTCCCACCTGTGACCACCTTCAAAAGTGCCTTGCATAATGGTCTTGCAGAGGCTGTCATGCCCTTTTCCAATGCTTAATAGTGGCATAGAGAGATTCCTGTTGTCCCACAAGACTTTTGACATTGCTCTATACATAGTCATTGGTTTTGTGCTCCCAGTTGGAGATGTAGAGGAGCTTTCTTTTGAAAAACAAGTGCCTGAATGCTTTTTCCTGTCTCAGCCAGGGATGTCCAAGTCTCATATCCAGAGAGGAGAATGGAAACCACCAGCAATTTGTAGAGCTTGAACCCGGTCTGGAAGCTGATGCTGCTCTTCCATATCCTTTACAGTCTTAACATCACTGCCATGGCTGTGGTAATCCATATTCAGATTTTTGCATTACAGGTGCCATCTTTTTTAGTTCAAGTACTTAAAGCTAGACACTTCCTCCAGCCGTTCACCATCCATGGGGATTCTGGCACTACTGTTGCTTGCACTATTCACCATTACTTTGAATTTTCCAAAATAAATATAAATAATGTAAAATGTTTACATCAACCTAGCATTTTCATGAAAAGTAATGTAATAATACACAATTTGTAGATAACCTTATTCAGCTCCCAAAAATCTCAAAGTTGTTATGCTTACCTGGATAGATATCTTTATGCTTGTAATAGTCTTTGGCATAACGAGTGTATTCTGCTCGTGACAAGGGGCGTTCAGATTTTGCATCTGAGTCATCTGCAATATAAAAAAAAAAAAAAACTCGTAAATCCCTCAGATTGACCAAAATAGAATTACGATAAGGTTCAATCTATATTAATATGAAGGATGCTGAAAAGTTATTTGCCCAATCCACTTCCAAAAATCTAACCAAACGACCAAACCATTTGTTTTCTTTTTAGAAGAGCTGCTTAGACAGAACTTTTTAGAATGATTTTAATATATCACATTAACTTGAGTTTTTGTTTTTTTAACTAACAACCAAGGTCCTAAATTTTCTCAGTCCACCTTTTTTTACCATTAATCCTATTGATCTGTCAAACATAATATTCTTGTGATATTGCACTCATCCTTTTAACACAAAGTTCTTGATGGTGGTTGTCTCCATTTTTGTTTTTTAAATTTATTACTATCATTAATTCACACATAGCCGAGATTATATATATATATATATATATATATATATATATATATATATATATATATATATATATATATATATATATACACACACACACATATATATAATAAAAAGTAGAGTAACTTTTCAGAGCACACAGAAACTACACCATAATCCGAGACAAAACACTGATACTAACTAAGCAGAGAGATGATCTATATGGAAATAATGCTATAATTTTTTTATAGGTACTATGCTACTTAATAAATAAAACATTAGACTGTTGGTTAGAATTAATTATTTTTTGATAAGTGAAGATTTTTTTTTTCTTTCTTTCTTCAATTTGTTTAAAATAATTTAACTGTCACTTGAGATACTAAGAACCAAGTTTGACCTAAAAATTCTAGGTAAGTAACCTAAGTGTTTGTTACTGACCTTAAAAAATGTAAGTGATTTTATTTTACAAATAGGCTACTGAAAAGGAAGCTCTTTCCTGTTTTAAATTAAAATCCTAAGCTTCCCAACAGCCAAGCTGGGGGGGGGGGATATAACTGACTCCATTTTGATTCTTTCTACACCCCTACTTTCAATTTTCCAATCTATTTTTTTTTTCTTTTTATATTTGCTCCCACTCACCCATAATATTCCTCCACCATCCACAATGTTTTGTTGAAATATACATTACATGATATATATTTGGATAAACTTATAATGTAACAGCTAATTTATCAATATAGGGGTTCATGCCTAATCTTGTTCCTCTCCCCCAAATTATATCCTTACAAGTAAGAGTAGAATGGCATGTGTTCCTCCCAATCAAACTACATTATCCAAACTTTAACAGAAGGAGATTAATAGTCAAGTCACTAGTGTTACTAACAGTCTAAAGACAGCACTAAAGGTAAGCAATTTTTTTCAATAACTATCCTGGTCAACTAAATGTAAATAAAAAAAAAAAAATTGAAAAGAATTTACATGAATTTTATTTATTTATATATATATATATATGTGTGTGTGTGTCTGAATAAAAAGACAAGGGAAAACTATTCTTAGCCCATGCATTTTATCCTCTGAGGGACTTTATCAAGGCAAATGTTCCTTTACAGATACACTATCTGAAAATACGCATACACTATAATGTGTGTGTGTGTGTGTGTGTGTGTGAGAAATCTAAAAAATAGGTATCTGAAACAAAAATATTTGCTAAAGGTTGGGCTTATTTATAAGTGCTTTTCATGATTTCTACTTAGTGAAGTCTGGATGTGAACAGAAAGAAACTGACACTTTGGCTTCAACATTATAATCCCAACCTGTTGATCTCAAAAGATTTTAGGAAATTGAATTCTACAAAATGTCCAGCAACTATAAGCTGCCAAATCAGTGTTTAAGTCCATTGGTAAATGTAAGCAACAATCATCTGTCAACAAATATATATATATATATATATATATATATATATATATATATATATATATATATATATATATATATACTGGTAACTGAACAAAATTACATTAATATTACAAATAGTTTTAAACCAACAGAAACAGGACAAAAATACCAATGTAGAAAATAAGGTCCATTGTTTACATCTATGTTTGTTTTGTTATTGCATCCACAATAGTTTTCTGATTTTAAAATAATTGTTCTAAATTTTGAGTTGTAATCATGACCTTTGAATTCAAACATTCTCTTTATTTATATTTCAGTCTGCATATCATTTTCTCTGTGCAAAGTAAATTGATTTAGTAGAATAGATATGTAGATTGGTTTGTCACTTATTCAAAAGATCCCAACTCAGAATCATTATCTAAAACTGTCTGAATTCAGAGAATCTGATTTAACCCAAAAATATTCTACAATTTTTTCATCTAAACAAAATATTTTGGTTGATTGTTTTTGTTTGGTCGCATAGCAACCTCTACGAGATATTTAATGCTAAAATATAAATATTTTATATTCAATATTTTATTGGGTGGGAGGGGTGATAATGGTTTTAGTGATACAAGTCTTACTAATTAACCATAACTTGAGAGAGAAGAAGTGGAACTATACCTCACCCAAGGGTGTTTGCATATAAGTGAATATAACAAACCCAACTGGAATTGGAACTAGGTTTCTGCAATTAACAATTCCACACCATTTTCCATTACACCACCTGCACATCCAAGATTACAGCACTTGGTATTCCCAAGTGGTAACATATCTAGGTAATGACCAGGCCCAACATTGCTTAATTTCAGTGATCGCATGGGAACCGGTTTTTTGAACATATGACTGTAAGCCCATAAAATATTTTTGGAAACTTAAATATACAGAGTGATTATCTAATAGATTTTGATTCTCATTTATCCCTGGAATTAAGTTTTAAAAAAAGAATTTAAAGTTTTGTATTGATGGATTTAACGCATCCACTGAACAATGAGGACTTCACTGAAAAATAAAAATTTTTATTTTACTTTTTCTATCTTTTATATTACAATTAGTAATATTTTCAGATGTTCACTGACAATAATATTATTGATACATTTTAAGAGATCGGTATCCTCAATAGATGGGTTCCCTTGGATGGGAAAATCTGACAAAAAAAAATAATGAGATAATGAGTATAACAATTAATTTTCACTAACACTTATTAAAAAATGGAAAAAAAAAAAAAAAAAAAAAAAAAGAGACAGAAACATGAAATTTGAATATTTCTTACAAACAGAATGGAAGTAGTAGCAGTTGCCAGATAAAGATTTTCACAGCTTTATAGAAATTTAAATTAAAAAATATTTTTTTAAATTATTAAATATCTTTTTTTAATTAAAAAAGCAGCCTGTTCTATACTTTTTCTAAGACTTATAACAAATTTTGAAAAAATGAATGACAATTCTATCCTGCAGAATATATATCTGCCTGTGTGTTGGTGTATTTTAAAAAAAATTGCTATTAAACAGAAAACATCATCTGACAATATTCATCTTACTATATATTAATACACCATACAGCTTTGTCTAATGTTTTACTAAAAAAAGAAAAAAAAAAAAAAAGAAAAAAAAAGGAAAATAAGACACCATTTTAAAGTTATCTCCCTTGTACTAGTTTCAATATTGTAAAAAGGTGTTTGAGAAGTGAAAAAAAATTAAAAGAGCAACTGTACAACAATACCAATTGGAAAAATATTTAAAAGACTCAAATGTGAAAACTTAATGATGGAACTTAAAATATTAATTTCTACATCTATGGTAGTTTTTTTCTACCAAATAAAAGTGCTCTGTAATAGCCATACCAGTAAGAATTTTTCAACTTATAAAATAAGCATACTGGTCAAATTAACTATTTTGATAGGAGTTTAATAAACCTGAAACAAAATAATCATGACAGAGGAATAAATTATTTGGAAAACAATCAATAAGTGTGTCAAACCAAATACAGTATATGCATGGCTAATTTAATTGTGCCAGCAATTGTATTTACTACACAAGAGTAAATGAAAATACTTTTTTTTAACCATATTCACACAACTTCGCAATAGGAAAAGTAGGGGGTTATTTAATGGAAGAAAACAATTCAACAAACAGGTTTATTTGTGATTCCTATATTGCGGAAGAAAGTAGAAAATGTAAAGTCAGAACCATCAAAAGGTAAAAACAAGAATTACATGTGATAACAAAAGTGGATTTGCAAGCAGATACAGAAAAAAATAGACCAAACTTGTCAATGAATTAAATATAAACAAGTCCTTCATCCTTTAAAAAAAAAAAAAAAAAAACATCAAATTATCTCAAGTGGCTAAAGCACTTTATTCAAACAGTGAAAAGATTGAACAAGTTCTACAAGTTATTTCCAGCCAAGTTGCTGTAGCATTTTTAATATCAGTAATAGTTTCCCAATCCAGAAAAACTTATATTTCTCCCTTAAAATAAAATAAAAAAATTACATACAAAGTTAGAAAACTTTGCAATTTAACAGATAAAACAATGACTACTAAGCTAAGTCTGGTACAAGGCCAATCACTTCTCCCCCACCTAACAAATGTTCTGCAAGATAAACTTGCTAAGCATCAATGAGCATCCTAACCAGTGTCATTGAAAATAAATAAAATCCTTTAAAAAGGATTTGCCATTAAAATAATTGTCCTTTAACATTGAAAACAATTTTAAACCTACAATCACCAATTGATTCTTTTCAAGCATAAAATAAACTAGCATTTCCTCATTGACACATAACTCCATCCATCACACAAGAGATGACAGACTTAATTACTATTAGCTACAAAGGAGATTGTCCTAAGCAAAAATTACTGACATATCTATCATGTGTAGACAGTGTTTGGAGATAAGTTGCTTGTTTAAAAACCAGTCACAGTAAAAGGAAAGACATTGAAACAGACAGCCAATCAAATAACGCCACATATCTTTAAGAGGGAAGAAGAAAAAAAACTTAGCAGTTAGGCAATGACATGATAAAAGTTTAGCCAGTTAAACCAGACTATCCTAAATTGTAAAAGGATGTATTTAATATTAAAAGACTCCTAATTTATTATTATAAAACTTTATGAGTAGATTTAACAAGCTTTTTTATTACATGATAACTCATTTTTATTTTAAGACATTGAATGAACTTATTCTTTTATGAAACAAAGAATTTAAACATCACATGAAAATGGAATGTAGTATGGACTTTTGCTAGTATCCTTTGTAAGATCATTGTATGCATGCCCAAGAAGACTATTCTGTAAGAACCAGTGGAAACTGTTAGAATTAGTTTTTCCAAGGTCAAATTCCCTGAACTTTTGGGCAGTACCTTGAATAGTAAAATGGGTTATTCTTTTCAGTTAGACAATTTCCCTTTTCATTAGTAAACCACAATTATGTTCTAAAAATAATCAGGTAACACTGTTCATATCAAAACATTCCATTTCTTCAACAACACAAGCTGCCCACAACTGATTTTCACATGAACGTGTTCATCAGTTTTTACCTGCATATTAATTAAGCAAAGAGAACCACATGGAATTGAACTCTCAATGACTGGCTTAAACATACAGAAGATTAATATATGCTGCTTCCTTCAGCTTCCTCACACCTCAGCAATCCTCTCTCTGTCAGCTACATGGACCCTATCTAAGCAGATAGTATGTACCTGTCTTTCTCCAGACAGTGTCAGCTAAACAAGAGTTCTCAGTTATAGCTTCATGTTCTTCAACTGACTTTAAAGGGACAGTTGGTTTCACCTGTATATGATTTTTCACATACACAATGGCATTCAGCAAATAGTTTGTTGGTTTTTTTTTGGTTTTTTTTGTCAGACTTCTCTCTCTTTCACACATATGAGTCAATAAGTCATGTGAGTGTGAATAACATTAGTAACATTTCCATGTGCTGCGTCCCTTCAGGACATTGGCAATCATGGCTCTCCACAGTTGTTCTCTCTCAACAACACTAGAAAGATATTTAATAATTTGAGAAAATTATGATATAAAAATGTTAAAGTTTCAAACATTTCTATACGACATCAAAAGATTAACTAAAGAGATTCTAAATAAAATAACAAAGGAATCATATGCAGCATTAAAGAAATCATATAATTCTTTATTGCATCCATCTATAATTTGAATTATTTAATAAAAGCTAATGCCAACCTCTAGCTTCCATTTGAACTTGATCCAAAAAGAATAGTTTTACCTGTAGATATAAAATTAAAAAAAGTGAAGTGAATAATTATTGAAACTGGTATGCTTTTGCTTATTTAATACTTAATTGATTCTTGAATAATTATTTGAACATAGATTTTATACAATTGATCACATTTATTCAAATTATATGTTGCTTTCATGTTAACATTTTCAGCACTAGCATCTTTTTTTGCTAATTCACAGAATCCAAATATAAATAATCAGACTGTAGCATTGCTAGGAAGCAGATCCAAATCACAGCAGTGTGTAGAGGACAAAATGAAAACAAGGTGCAAATTTCAAAAGAGGGAGGTTATATAATTAACATAACCTGGTGTTTAACAGGTTTAAAAAGCACAACCATTGATCAACATTTGCTGGCACTGAACATATTATGATAACATTACAATTGACATTTCTTGTATATTGTTATGCCATATAAAAAAAGCAATGGCTTATCTTGCATACATAACATAGAATTGTGAATTTATATACTCAGAGCTAATATTATCTACCAACAAATAATAACTTTGCAAATATAACAAACCTGAATAAGTGTCTGAGTAGAAACAATTATTTAATTCTAAGATCACACAGACTTTATGCTCTGTTTGAAATTCTATAGACAGGAAGATTATTCAGTATAAAAAAAAAGGGAGTGTCTTTGAAATGTGCTGATATCTCTTTTGCCAAAACAATCAGTTATCATATAGTAAATACAAAATATCAACTTTATTGAACAATAATAGCCACCAATTCGATTCCATTAAATACAAAGCTTAGAAAAAGTACTTTTTGGTTATCTATCACAAAACTATCAAAGACATTTTCTGACACCCTGATACTTCTGGGTTAAAAAAAAAAGAAAGAAAAAGATTGGTAATCACAACTAAAGATAGAATGACTGTCCAAAAAGATGTTATAAATATGTCACCATTGAATAATTAACTAAAAGAGCTAAGAGTGAAGAGATACTTTAACAGTAATACATACTGACAAGCTGTGAATATCCATACAGAAATCATCTAATTATTGCATAACAAACTACATGCATACTAAATTCTTTTTTATTAACAAAAGAAATCTATTAAAATTATAATTGATAATAATGAATGATTTCTCATTAAAATAACATTAATGACACAAAGACAAAAGGAATAAACAAGAATTTTGAAATATTTTTAAAATTTTTATGAAAAAAAAAAAAAAAAAAATTTTTTTCACATTTTTTTAATTCTTTCTATGTCAACATTCTAGAATTAAATAAAAATGAAAACAATCTTGCCAAACCAAAGTAAAATTTTACTTTTATTCCTCAAAGTTTCCAATTAAAAGCATCATTTTGAGATCTCAGCATGTTTAAAAACAAAAAAGAAAAAAAAAGTCCTATAGTACATATTGAGCAAAACTTATTTTATATCAGAATATTCATCACTTACTATTTTTTTTCCTAATTGTAGAATGTTTATGAAAATTAAATTTTATCTGATATTTAAATTAATTTTTGATCATTCAGTCTTGTTAAGGCTATTAGAATACCTACTTTCATCATCTCTTAGAAATTTCTAAATAAACAAAAGAATTAAATTTACTCAAATTTCTTCA